TAGAGCTATCAGCAATACTAAGCTGTATGAGGATACCCTCCACCTGCGCATGCAAATCACGTGGTCTCCTTCAGGAGAGCCACTTTCTCCTGGCAACCAACCACCACTGGAACATTATTAACACAACTTGAGCTTTGTTTCTCCTCTCTCATCACAACAGGGTGCTGTGCCACAAGCACACTGTGTTAATCATGACTGTGACCTACACCCATACTTTCCTAGTAACTGGAATGGCAGCAGCAGATACGTAAGCCAGTCTTGCCCAGTTACTGAGAGTAATACTCAAATGACTTTGTGCAATGTCAGATGCAGAATGCCACAAAAACTCCTTGGCACTCAATCTTCTCTGTGCTGCAGCTGGTTTCCCTCTTGGCAGGTGAAAATGAGGGAATGTCTTTGTAAATCACCTGAAGTAATTCTGCAGCATATACATACCGTACTAGGAGGCACAGTCAAGTGATATGAAGGCTCTGCGACCTTACTCTCCCATTTTCTTTTTTTTATTCAACACATGACAGAAAGCAAATAATATTCCTGCCATCAATAAAAAGCTAAATAAATAGATTCAGCTGAAACAAAGATAAAATCAGAATGACCTTTTCTACATGCAAAATACTGTTACAACAATGACAATTGGCCTGTAGCTTGGCATCTCGATGTAACAGTGGGTAAGGCTATGTAGTTCCATGAAAATTTTATGGAGATGACCCATCAAACTGTAACTAACACAGTGTCCTGGTTTAAGCCAGGATGAAGCAAGTTTTCCCAAACCAGGACACAGTTTTAGCTTAGGAGGTACAAACTGGACATCAGAAAAAATATTTTCTTAAAGGGAGTAGTGCAGCACTGCATTCAAAGGACAAAGCCACAGCTGACCTGTAGATGGACTAGTTGGCCTAAGACAAAAATATTTGAAGATGTCTTATTGTGTAATATTATATACATACATACACATATGCATATATCTCCAACTGGTTGCCTTTCTTTTACTGCCTCAGGACAGTTTATATAAAAGCATCTTTTCTATATACACATTTGGGGATCCACTGCTCATCATAGCATGAAGATATTGGTACGTTTCTGCAATCAATCTTCCCTCATACAACTTAACAAAAAGGAAAAGATCTATCTGATCTATCAAAATTTAAAATGGGGTCTAATACAGAATATAAAATGGAAATGCAAGCCATTCTAACAGATCCTCAACTCTGAAACACAGAAGAATTAACAGCTTCAACATGACAAAAAGCCTCACTGAGTGCCTGTATGCTTTGGCAGGTAAATAATTTATTGATATTAATAGAAAGCAACAAATTGAGAACAATGTGGAAAGGAAGAGATGTGAAAACATAAACCATGTAAACTGCATATTTGTTAGCCTTGTACATAATGAGCTAACTACAGTGCATATGTGTCCTCATCCCAAAAATATTTTAGCCTTCCCCTGCTCCATAAGCTCTGAGCATGTCAGAAACTCTACCAACTACTTACAGAAAGAGAAAGCATAAGAGAAGTGCTACATACTTCTTAAACTCTTCAAGGAGTGGAACTTTCACCATCTAAGTCTAATGTTGTGCCAATGTGATACTGCCAATTATTTCAGATTTTTAAAAGATGTTTAAACAAGTAGTTTTTTCTGTATTTTATAGGTTTTTAATTTTCCATTGGAGAGGAAAGAAAATGTGGTGATGAAACTATTTTCTTCCTTTGAAAAATGGAGAATTGTTCATTCCTTATCTCTGCCAGCAATCTTCTACAAGTAAAATATTTTCCATAAATATAGCTTAAAACTGTCTAATATCTCAAAATGGGTTGGTGTTTCTCTCATATCCCAGAATAAAAAGTAACACATCACACTTTTTGGCAGGAATTGAATATGCACTTGAATATTTCATGGTGTCACTGAATGCAGAAACACATGTATAAAGAGCAAAATCAGTAGTGTGCATTTCTTGTCTCAGCATTCTGAAATACCTTCAGTGGTACAAAGGATGACTGAACTTTCCCTTACTGGCTTCATATGCCCCTCTTATAAATCCAAAGCTGATAACACACAAAAAGTACAAGTATAACTTCTTAGGTTATGCTTACAAACAACAGCCAGTTATTTATATAAATAAGTGCAAACAACAGCTGGGGGAGGTGGGAAGATTTCACTCCAGTGGAAGGAGATGGGTAGATAACTAGCGGAGATTTCACATTTTCTACAACACAAGAAACTCTAGCATAATCACTATTTCCTTCAATATTCTTACCAGTTCCAAAATCACTGCTCACATGTGATAACATTAAGTATCTTGTAAACAATAAAGCTATTAGGGTGAGATTTTTAACTGCAGAAGTGAGTCAAATTAAGGTAGTTCAGTAGCAATAAAAATGGAGCAAGTGCCAGTTTTGATCTATTGACATAAAAGAAGCCCATGTGAACTGAAAACAGTGAGTATCTAGCAGAGGGGCTTACTGCTTGCTAGAAGCTGTAGGTACTATTCATGCCTTTCCTCTCAGTGTACAGAGACTCTCTAAGACCATCTTTCCAAGTCAGGCAGAAATTGCAGTAAAATTCAAGGAAGGTCACTCCACCTAAAAAGCACAGCCCTGCATTCTAAAAAGCAGTGTCTTCAGAGGGCTTAATCTGGCATTCAAACATTGGGCATCAGCCACTTTAAACAAAATGTTTTATGTAAGCATAGAACAAAACCATAGCCTGTTTTCTACATTCCCACAATTTTGGATTACTTGGTTACTGGTAAAAAAATAGCAGCTTTCTTTAGCACAGTTAGCCCCATGAGGCAACTTAATTCCTTTAAAATGTTATTAGCTACAGTTTCTGAAATTGTAATTATAACTATACAAGTTTGTGAAGCTCCCTAAAATTAATCCAAGCTATTTTATTTGTCATTGTCTGGTGTTATTTTTTTCTTAACTTAGAAAGTTTTTCTTTTTAATTTGACAAAGAAGTTAAAGAGAATGCAAATAATTATTATAATACATGACACTGCAATCAGTACTGTATTGCCATCATAACTTTCACACACAAGCCCCCCACAGTACAATATTTTCTAAAAAACTGTACCCCTTGCTGGTGACTGCAGCTAATCTTCAGAAACAGAGGCATAAGGCAGGAATGGAGTTAGAAATTAGACTTCAGCCTGTGCCAGCTATTTTTTTCTAGAATTATTCCCTTTATGAGCATACTACTAGTATGTTTTCCTCCTCACACACTCACCACTACAATGATTTGCCATTCTGTCTGACTTACAAATATTAATGGAAAGGAAGAAAATTAAATCCCACTTTGTGCCACTCAATATTTGAAGCTTTGGTAAGGCACCTGCTTGACTGTTGGTATAATTAAGTCTGCCCTAAGTCTGCTTTAATTTATGCCCAGTTCACCTATGACCCAAACACTCTTTGTTGCCACTCTCTTCCTTCCAAACTATGTCAATGAATGGAAGGAAACCGTACAGTGAAGTTACACAAGTGTCTTCTCTGTAAAGCACATTTTTGTTCTGAAATACACTAGCACACTCTACTGAATGAGTCTGTTGAGATCTATCTTGTTCATTCATTAAAGGAGGATTCACAAAACAACTCTGCACTCCGTACTTGTGAATTCTTGAGGATTCAAAACTGGTTGCATGGCTGTTTTTGTCAACATTTTCCAAATCAGACCTTCTGGATAAAAGATGATCCTAAATTTTCCTCCTTGGGCAGAATTACCAGAGAGACAAAAAGCAAAGAAATGAGGAAGAGAAGAACCGGGAAGGGCTGAGAATGAGGAAGAAGAAATAAATGGCAAGTTGCTACATGACAAAATTCTATAGTCTAGGACTCACAGTTATTCTTTGCTGATTTTAAGGAGATTAGCATCAGAAAAAACCTCATTGAGGAGTGCCCCACATTTTCTGCAGCATTTATTTTTTGTATCTGGTTGATGCCTGACAACTAAAAGGAAAATACTGAAGCATGATTCAGAAGATTGCACAACAGTGACACTCCCCAAAAAATCAGGAAGAACATGACACTTACAAAGTGTACATCATCACAATTTCATCTCATGTACTGCTGACAACAGTCAGCAATAACAGGAAGGGAACTGCTGAAAAAGCACAAGTGAGGTCACCTTTTTCTGGGTACTATTTTTAAACAGCTGCAAAACATTTGGGAAAGAGACAGAGAAGGAATTACAGATGTGTGGCAGAAAGACTAAAGGCAAAAGGGGTATAAAAGAGGCAAAAAAAAAAAGGAATCAGGAGAGAAGGTAGTGTTCAAAGGAGCAGCTGGTGACAGGCTTTACATTTCCAACAGAAAACTGGAAGCTGACATCTGTGTTCATAGAGTATTTAACATGAGCTCTTAGTTACTAGCACAGCATTCAGGAAGGAGGCAGAGGAAAAAAGTGTGATATCTTAACTGAGCTCAGTTCTAAGCATAAGATGAAAGAAAGAAAAAGAAAAAAAGAGATTCAATTTCACGTCAGTCCCTGGCAACTACTCAGCATTCCTTATTATTATAGCCCTGTTTGCTTGTAGAATGCTGATAATGTGCCAGAGCTGTGGTGTGCTTTGGAATCCTTCTAACATCCTTAGCTCTGCAACTTCAAGACCAGATGGAAAAAAATTACTTTTGAATACCATAATGCCAAAGTTCAACAAACAGTGTTACGTAACTTTGTTTGGAAAAAAAAACCTTAATGGACAGTTTTTATTTCTATTGCTTTCAAATCAGATCAGAGTTAAAAAACATAATCACCTGTATGATTTTAATTTTTGCTTAATGAATAACAACCTCTGAGATAATACCTGAAACTATAATAAATTAAAGTTCTTCTTATAACATCCTTAATTTCTACATTGAAAATATTTTCAGCAAATACAACTTACAGAATTCATCCAGGCCAGTAGCTATGAACACCTGCACAACAATCACTACCATGTTACAGATGCTGTCTGGCACCATCTACTGAAAGGCTTCAGATGGTCTTTTAACAAACAACATACCTTGAAAGATTCTGTCATATGCTTTGCTGTTTCTCCTGGACATCCTCCACCTGTGCATTCATTCTGACAGCCCTAGAAGAAATAAAACCAGAGGAAATCTAATTCAATGAACGTTGCAGGAAAGTCGATAACACATGCAGGTAAAATACCCTTTGGGACAGATTGTACTGAATGATCACTCAAACTTTGTCAGCAGTAAATACAGTAGCAAGAACTTTTTGGTAGTTTCACAGCATAACTCTCCACATTTGGGGTTTTTAGTTTTACTTCAGTTACATTATTTTGTATAACTATATTCCAGGCCTTTATAGAAGATTAGACTTTCACTCTGCAGCGCAGAAGGGTATGGACAATGTCAAAAGTCTCATTTAAAGCTGAATAAATAAATAAATAGTGGTTTTACACAATTCCATCAGATTCTAATTTCTCTACTAAAGTATTCACCTACCAGATTTGCTTTTGCCTTTTCTCAGGGAAGCTTGACTAGACAGAATGAAAGAAAAATGGAAAGAACTGTTTTTGTTAAATTCTTCATTAATGAAAACAGAGATAAGAAATACCCACCTATTTAAATATAACATCAGGATATTTTTAGTTACCTACTACATTCAACTTAAGGGTTCTGTCACTGACCCTGCTAGAAAGGAACTGAAAGAAAAGGAACAATAGCTCTAGGCATCTTTCTGTTCTGCAACAGAAGGATAACAGACAGGTGCACACCATCTACCTAAAATTTAGATCCCTGGTTTTCACAGCATTAAGCTAGCATTGTTGTGGACACTCCTGCACTACCTAGACCCTCCTTGCCAGTAAATGTATATTGCACCCAACAGCATGGAGTGAAGGCAAGAAATACAGCCCAGATGGTATTTCTTGTTTCCAAGCAGACTTTAAGAAAGAACTGGAAATGTGATGTGGGGACAGAGGTTTGGGAGAAGAAGGGAGGTGCAAGGAACATCATGGGGATGGGCCACAAAGGAGATGGCTTAAGGGAAGTAGAACTTGCAAGATGGAGGGGGATGGCAGAAGGGATGCTGAGACCAGGGATGGGTGGGGCATGGGGAAACAGGCTGGTCAGAAGTGCTATTGTAGCTGGCTGAAAGACAGAGGCACTAAGAGATGCTGTTGCCAGGTCTGATAGGTAAGGAAGGGTATTTCAACACTACAAGGGAAAAGCCCTAGCAGGTGCCTGCACTGGATGCTCACCACTTGGTGGCTGCCTTTCACCCTGCCACCCCTCAGCCCTGTAGCATCTTGACTGGGAAGTCCCCACCCAGGTGGGAAAGCCCCAGGCCAGAGGTACAGTCCCCTGAGGGAGGGCTGTGCAAGGAAAACCCTTCATAGTCAGCCTGTGAGATCCTTGCCCCAAGTTCTTACCAGGAGACAGCCCTCACCCTACAAGGAGGCAGTGGTGGATGGCAGTGACAGGGAGACACCAGCATCACAGTCCTGCAGACTGGGGCCACATGGCCCACAGCCTAGGTAACATGACATACAAGGCAAAACACAGTATTTTCTTCCCTTTTTGCAAATCTTGATGGTACAGTAGATAAACAAAAAAAAAATAAAATTAAAAAAAAAGAGGTAACTTCAGCAGGCCTTTAGCCAAAGGCTTGCTACCAACAAAAGAAAAAGCAAACTCTCAGCCACAGCAGATCTCACTTCCTCTTCTCCTGCAGTGCCCCAGGGAGGCCATAACATCCCTCCTGCCTTTTGCCACCACCAGTTTATAATAGTTAGGTATTCTGTAGATCAATTAAGCCAACCGATTTTTCTTTGCAGTGCAGTGAATTAGGATGGAGATCATGCTGGTCAGCAGCTAACAGGATGGTAGCTGTGGAGCAAGAATTTCTCAAGCAGCTCAAGCTCCATTGCTGGCTTTTGTCTAATACCTAGTATGCAAAGCTGGATTTTCTAATTATTATTACTGATGACAGCAAATACTTACAAATACTCAACCTATCAGGCTTCGGTTTCTTCCCATCTCTGCTTTATCAAGTTGCCATAAAGTAAGTGTTCGCATCAACACAGAGAGGATTTAAACTGGATATATTTTCATATGCTCTTTTGTGATCTTTAAAAAATAAAATTTGTATGTGCATTTCATACACGTGGACCATCTATAGGAACAGCCTTTACTGGTTCAATTGTGCTGCTGATTAGTTCATAGTTTCCACTGACCTCAATGAAGTCAACAGCCCAGTTTTTGGGCATACGCCATAGAGCCCAATCCTGTTCTCCATGAAACCATTATGTTTTACAGTTTTAACTAATATTTAAAGCAAGTAGCTAACTGCTTTTGTTAACCGCACTGAGATTAAATTGCATTAATCCCCAGGACAAGAAAGACATAACCACAATTACTTTCTAATTGATGAAGTCATATTTTAATGGCTCCATAGCTTTTAAATCTGAAACATGTTGTTAAATGCAATAGGGAAAATTACTCCCTGGTTTAGTGCCAGCATTACCAAGGGAGATAATGCCAAACATAAATTTGCCCTTTGTGTTTAATAGCATGGTAGATTTAAAGCTGCATCCATTAAAACATGTTAACCTAAACATACTGGGTCAACATTTCCTCAAAAGTCATTCAAGACTGTATCAAGTTGCTATTTAATTACACAAATATATGACCATGTTTCCTATGTTGTGATGTACGTCTAACACTGTTTTCTTTATGGTTTGTGTAACTGTTTTTTCTAAATTTGAAATAAGACAGTATAGCACCATTTTCCTTTAGAAATATTGAAATTGCATATAGATTTTATAATTTTGTAAAGCCTGTATGAGAAAAAAGTACAAAGCATTAGATTAAATTTAGTTGGATAATCAGTTTTATATGTCAATGTATCATTGAGAAACACTACTAAAATAAAGACCTAGTGATAAGTAATTCTGTCTTTACTTTTATAGAAGATCTCACTGCAATATTAAGTTTTGCAAATGCTTTAGCTTTCACAAAAATTAATCACCATATATTCAGTTGGATAATAGTGCTTCCTCACATTATATAACACAGTTAGATTGGAAGTAAGTACTGAAGAAGTAAGCCTTAGGGAGGTTAGGCTCCTCCCAACACGCGAGACACTGTGTTAACACTTCTGGAATTTTTTTACTTAATAGTTGCCACCTCCACTTCTGCTAGACCCTTTGCAAGCCTTATCTTTCAAATCCTGCATTTGGTCCTCAGACTGCATTAGACATACCAATTTTCAACATCTTTTCACATCAGGATGCTCCAACTAAGGCCTCTTGGCTTTCCCTGCTGTCTTTGGCACACCTTCTCTGACAACTCTTAAGAGAAGAGCATGAGACATTGCAGCTAAAGTATTGACCTGCAAGAGCAGCCCATCAACTTCACTATCACCATTTTGCCAAGCCTCTTGTTACGGTCATCTTTTAGGGTATCTTTCTGCATCTCACTGCTTCACCAAAACAGATTATCTACCCTTTTATGCAGTCAGATCACTTGTCCTTCAGCTAAAAAGACCATCTGCAACAAAAATAGGCCCATCTTCTGCCTGAACTCCTTAGGCTTCATAGACTACCTGAATCTGCCTTAACTTTTCCGGTGCCCTCACACTTGGTGGCTTTCGAGACCCAGTGTTAACACCAACATCTTTGTTCTCTCTTGGGATTATCTGTTCTATAAACTGCAGTCCTACCAGATCTTTTGTCAAAACACTATTCTTAAATTTTAGCTAGCTCATTATCCCATACTCATCCTCGCTTATGAAATAAGAACAGAAAATTTTCATAAACTTCATCTCATCACTGTAAACTTCAGCTGTAAACTTACTTTCATACACCATGAGTTACATGATTTGATTTTTAAAATGGCATCAGTTGTAAAAAAAAATAATAATAATTGCAGTTACCCCTATGTCATGTACTTTGTCTCCCTTTTTCACGACATCTAATTTTTTAGTTAGTTCTCTGCTCACTAACTTTTCTTGTTGTTTGATTACTCTTCTCACATTGGAAATACTTTTTACAGTGTTCACACTTTCAACTAGGAAATCATATTGGCTGCATTTCAAAACAAATCAAGATCTGCAGTTTTACAAACTCCTTTGTCATTGTTTTGGTTTCATCAGTATATGCTTATCCAAATCAGCCCACAGACAAATCTGACCATAGAGTGGTTTGGGTTGTAAGACCTTAAAGATCCAACCCCCCTGAATGGACAGGGACACCTCTCACTAGACAGTCTCCACTCGAAGTAAAAATTTCATCAACAGCACTAGTACTGTTAGAGTGCTATGAGTGACAGGGAACATCAGAAAACCCAGTTTTGTGCCCATGAAAGAATTGTAGACAGTGATTTTGGGCAGGCAGTGGCTACTCATAGAGGACAAGAACCAAAAAAGCAAATAAGCCACAGATACGCAGATATGACTGCATATAGTTTCTTCTACTGGGGCCACTCTATCTTTTGCTATGCAGGGAAACAAACGCAGAGCTATCTTGGTAATCATCAGGCCCCAGCAAAGGTGGAGTGGGAGTTCACACTCAGTCAGAAGTCACAGGAAAAACACTTTTCAATTAAGAAAGTCCTTCCTGATGCACTTCTCCAAGCTAAAGCAGTGTCTTACTGCTTTTACCCATGCTTGCTTTTAAATGTCTAAATATTATTTCATGCTCTAATTTACACTGGAAGGATAATGAAATTAGAATACTCATCAGATTCCAGGAATCTAGTAGATCAATAAATTCAATATATGACTATAATGTGTTACTGCCTATGAGCAAGTCAAACTAGGTGTGTGATGACAGGTACCTTGGCATGTTGTCCTTCTGTTCCAAGTATAAGAGAGTCCGACATGTACAAATGCTACATAGTCTGTGTATGCTACAGTCATATAAAACACTTCAATGACTTCAAAACATTTTTTGTCTGCCTCCAGGAAATGTTGATACAAGTTGGCAACCACACCACATGAAAGGTGAATTTGCAGGAAACAAAAACAGTAATGATGTTCATAGCTTTAAACAAAAAAATAAACCACTTTCTGTCAGACAGAAAGAAATTCTGAATATTGCTGTAGGGCCCAGTCATATAATACTATTTTTAATATCAGCTAGAAGTTATTTACTTAACATTTATGAAAGACTTCCAGAGCTCAGGAAGCTTATTTATGGAATTTTACAGCCAGGCATGTTTACCTTAACTGTGATGGAAGCAGTTGCATGATATAAAATATTTTAATACGGTCTTTATATTGTATGTATGTGAATGTGAACATACACATATGTATAAGTTATCATGAAAAGTCAACAAGTAAATTAATTTGGCTGGGTCATTTACATAACAGCGTGGCATGCCTTATCCACACAACTTCTTTTAAATCTACTCTGTACAAAATCAAGACAGAAAGAGAAAGAAGACTAAGTCAAATTGCATTTCTAACAACTTATCAAGCCAAACAGAGATCCCTGAGGTATCTTTGGTCATTAAGGTGGAGCATTCTTCATGCATTGGCTTGACAGTCTTCAATAATGAAGAACATGTACAGTACAAATTCTAGAGCAGCTCCAATGATATACCTCCATGTATGCACAGATCAGCACTGGGGGGAAAACAAAAAAGCAAAACCACCCAAAGAATAAATAAAAAAGGAAAGACAGCTTGACATACACAGTTCTAGTGCTTAGCTTTTTACTTAGTTCACAAAGAATTCTCATTTGTTTATATTTCTGCACTTCTAATGCATTTCTCTAAGACTACTCTTACCTAACATATCAGCCCTGATGCCTTGTCAGCTGGGCATTATCACCTTACTGTGGCTGCTTGTTCAATCTTGAGGTGGCTCTAATGTTGGTTAAACAGTGAGGCAGTGTAATAACAATATATATTAAAGAAAAATATGAGGCAACTAGCACAGCAGAAAAAGAAAGCTACCACATTATTTCATTTTGCATCAGAATGAAAACATCAAGACTTAGAATGTACAAGGTGTTTTGTTTTGTGGTTTGTTGTTTTTTCTTTTTTATCTAAGAAAGCTGCATTTCATAGAAGTTAAATTTAAATAGATTACTATTAAATTATCCCAAAAGACTGTGCAGGCACTTCTGACTTGAGCAGCTTATTTGGTTTAATATAAAGCAATTTAAGTAGTTTGAATAAAACTGAAATATGTTCCTCTTAAAACAAGTATCACTGTTTTAATATGGTTAAATAAATGACAATTCAGCTTATATGAGCACAACTTATTGGTTACAAAAACCTTGAAACAGAGAACATAAACAAATGGAAATAGTCAGTGTATTCCAGATGCATATTTAGTAAAATTTATAGCTGTACAGCAACTCTAAAAGCAGACCATGAGATTAAATAAATGCAGGACAATATTGTCAAAATAAAGTAATTTCAGTAAGCAATCAAGTGAGAAACCTCTCTAGGAAATAATGCCAATGTTTTGACTCAGTGCTTCAATTAATATCTGAATTAGTTCAGTAATGCCTAACGAGTTGTACCAGAAAGTTTGTATCAGTTCACCTGAAAGGTAGCAAGGTTAGGCAAGGTGAAGGAGAACCTTGGAGTCTGAAATCCAAAAAGAACGTGTGCTTGGCAAACTAGATTATCAAGAAGGCTAAAGGGAAGAAAAGAGTTCACTAAAATAGAAGACAGATTAATTTGATGTAACTAAAGAGAACCCAACCAGAGACCTACTCAGCTTCAGGCTAAAATTATTTTGCCAGATATTTCAAAAAAATTACAACATGAGCTGTGAATTACACTCACACAAAGTGGGGACTAAACTTTGATCCTTTCAAATTTAAAAATATTGAAATCCTACCAGCAGGGCCATCCAATGACAGGACATAAAGCAGCAGATTTCCACAGAGTGGCCCATTTTTCAAGAGTTCTGCCTTAATACATTGCCTGCACAACCATACACAATCCTCCTTCCCTATTTTCTTTACAGACTAGGCACATCCTCTAAAGAAATCCTCTTTGCACATGACCTCCAAATGCCATGGGCTTTAGCCTTGATTTCTAAGCCCACTGCTCTTGTTTCTTCTTGTTTGTTTTCCTTCCTATGATCCTGTTCTTGCTCTGTCAGTCCTCAATGCCATTTCCTCTGTCTTTACCATCTGTCTCAGCTCACCAACGGTTCCCTTTTGATTGAGGAAAACAGGCTTGAACTATTAGGGGAATAGGCAGATGACCTAATGGAGCTCTTCCATCTCTAACTCCTATAAACAGT